AGAATCATTAGATCTTACTACAAAAGCCTGTATGCCACAAAACTGGAAAATACAAAAGAAATGGACATTTTTTTAAATAAGTACCATATACCAAAGCTAAACCAAGACCAGGTGAATGATCTAAATAGAGCGGTTACTCGCGAAGAATTAGAAACGGTTATCAAAAATCTCCCTTCGAAAAAAAGCCCAGGACCAGATGGTTTCAATGCAGAATTCTACCAGAACTTCCAAGAAGAACTAATACCTATACTCCTTAATGTATTTCACAATATAGAAACAGAAGAGTCATTGCCAAATTCCTTTTATGAAGCTACAGTTACCCTGATACCAAAACCGCACAAAGACCCAACCAAGAAAGAGAATTACAGACCTATCTCACTCATGAACATCAATGCAAAAATTCTCAATAAAATACTGGCAAACCGAATCCAAGAACACATAAGAAAAATTATCCATTATGATCAAGTAGGCTTCATCCCAGAGATGCAGGGCTGGTTCAACATATGCAAATCTATCAATGTAATCCACCATATAAATAAACTGAAAGAAAAAACCATATGATCATTTCATTAGATGCTGAAAAAGCATTCGACAAAATTCAACACCCCTTTATGATAAAGGTCTTGGAGAGAATAGGGATACAAGGGTCCTACCTAAATATAATAAAAGCTATTTACAGCAAGCCAACAGCTAACATTAAAGTAAACGGAGAAAAACTCAAAGCCATCCCACTAAAATCAGGAACACGACAAGGATGTCCACTCTCTCCATACCTCTTCAATATAGTGCTTGAAGTTCTAGCAATAGCAATAAGACAACATAAGGAGATCAAGGGGATTCGTATTGGAAAGCAAGAAGTTAAGCTTTCGTTATTTGCAGATGATATGATAGTATATATAAGCGACCCCAAAAATTCTACCAAAGAACTCCTACAGCTGATAAACACCTTTAGTAATGTGGCAGGATACAAGATCAACTCCAAAAAATCAGTTGCCTTCCTATACACTAAGGACAAGGAAGCAGAGAGGGAAATCAGAGAAGCATCACCTTTCACGATAGCCACAAATAGCATAAAATATCTTGGGATAACTCTGACCAAGGAAGTGAAAGATCTATTTGACAAGAACTATAAGTCTTTGAAGAAAGAAATTGAAGAAGACACCAGAAAATGGAAGGACCTCCCTTGCTCTTGGATTGGGAGGATCAACATAGTAAAAATGGCAATTCTACCAAAAGCAATCTATAGATTCAATGCAATCCCCATCAAAATCCCATCAAAATTCTTCACAGATCTGGAGAAGACAATAATCAACTTTATATGGAAAAACAAAAAACCCAGGATAGCCAAAACAATCTTATACAATAAAGGATTGTCTGGAGGCATTACCATCCCTGACTTCAAACTCTATTACAGAGCTACAGTATTGAAAACAGCTTGGTATTCGCATAAAAACAGAGAAGTCGACCAATGGGATCGAATAGAAGACCCTGACTTTAACCCACAAACCTATGAACACCTGATATTCGATAAAGGAGCTAAAAGTATACAATGGAAAAAAGAGAGCATCTTCAACAAATTATGCTGGCAAAACTGGATGTCAATCTGTTAAAGAATGAAAATAGATCCATATCTTTCACCATGCACAAAACTCAAGTCCAAATGGATTAAAGACCTCAATATCAGTCCGAACACACTGAACCTGATAGAAGAGAAAGTGGGAAGTACTCTACAGCACATGGGCACAGGAGACCACTTCCTACGTATAACCCCAGCAGCACAGACACTAAGGGCATCATTGAATAAATGGGACCTCCTGAGGCTGAGAAGCTTCTGTAAAGCAAAGGACACTGTCACTAAGACAAAAAGGCAACCCACTTACTGGGAGAAGATTTTCACCAACCCCGCAACTGACAAAGGTCTGATCTCCAAAATATATAAAGAAATCAAGAAACTGGACCGTAAAAGGCTAATCAACCCAATTATAAAATGCAGCATTGAGCTGAACAGAGAATTCTCAACAGAAGAACTTCAAATGGCCAAAAGACACTTAAGGTCATGCTCAACTTCCCTAGCGATCAGGGAAATGCAAATCAAGACAACTTTAAGATACCATCTTACACCTGTCAGAATCGCTAAAATAAAAAACACCAATGATAGCCTTTGTTGGAGAGGTTGTGGAGAAAGGGGTACACTCACCCATTGCTGGTGGGAATGCAAACTTGTGCAACCACTCTGGAAAGCAGTGTTTCGGTTTCTCAGGAAATTCGGGATCAACCTACCTCTGGATCCAGCAATACCACTCTTGGGAGTATACCCAAGAGAGGCCCTATCATACAACAAAAGTATATGCTCAACTATGTTCATGGCAGCATTGTTTGTAATAGCCAGATCCTGGAAACAACCTAGATGCCCTTCAATGGAAGAATGGATGAAGAAAGTATGGAATATATACATATTAGAGTATTACTCAGCAGTAAAAAACAAGGACTTCTTGAATTTTGCATACAAATGGATGGAAATAGAAAACACTATCCTGAGTGAGGTAAGCCAGACCCAAAAAGATGAACATGGGATGTACTCACTCATATTTGGTTTCTAGCCATAAATAAAGGACATTGAGCTTATAATTCATGTTCCTAGAGAAGCTAAATAAGAAGGTGAATCCAAAGACAAACACATAGGCATCCTCATGAATAGTAACCTTCATCAGGCGATGAAAGGAGACAGAGACAGAGACCCACATGGGAGTACCGGACAGAAATCTCAAGGTCCAAATCAGGAGCAGAAGGAGACGGAGCACGAGCAAGGAACTCAGGACCACGAGGGGTGCACCCACACACTGAGACAATGGGGATGTTCTATCGGGAACTCACCAAGGCCAGCTGGCCTAGGTCTGAAAAAGCATGGGATAAATCCGGACTAGCTGAACATAGCGGACAATGAGGAATACTGAGAACTCAAGAACAATGGCAGTGGGTTTTTGATCCTACTGCATGTACTGGCTTTGTGGGAGCCTAGGCAGTTTGGATGCTCATTTTAGGAGACCTGGATAGAGGTGGGCAGTCCTTGGGCTTCCCACAGGTCAGGGAACCCTGATTGCTCTTTGAGCAGATGAGGGAGGGGGACTTGATCGGGGGAGGGGGAGGGAAAGGGGAAGCGGTTGCGGAGAGGAGGCAGAAATCCTTAATAAATAAATAAATTAAAAAAAAAGAAATAGACAGAAAGAGAGGAAGATTTTCATAGGAGAACCACAGTGAACAGCTGGAATCAAGGTCACTGTGCTAGACCTCCCAAAACTACCGGGAAAAGAAGCATCCATTTTTCAGCTACAGAGAAAGCCACTGGAATTATGTCCCCAAGTATTGGTCCTTTTAAGTTATTGCCTTGACTTGAGGGAAATTTTCTTACTCTGTCCAGCCACATCAGTACCATCCACATGGATGCAGCATTCAGAGGTGCATTTGCAGTCATGCTTCCTACCATGCAGTGATGAACTGACCCTCTGCAGCTGTAAGCCAGTTAAATGTTGCAGTGCTCATGATATCTGTCTCAGTGGCCATGGTGTCTCTTCACAGCAATTGAGTGGTGAGGAAGATACAGGCCTTAGTATTTTGGTCAGAACCCAATATCTGAGGGCTTCTATGACATTCAGTCCACTTTCGTCAGCTCCATAGACTTGCCTAAGGGTAAGGAACCCACTTTTCACCTAAAGCTGCTGGAGTGGCACACGCCAGTGGACTCCACTGCTTCAGCCACATGCTAGGCCTTGATCAGTTTTCAGTAGGAAGACAAGGGCATCCACATGCCCGACGAAGGCTTTCACTGATAGTGCAGCTCATAGGTGAGTCAGTCTCCGTGAGGTTAGACCTGACCTTAAATCAAAACCCCTATATGGTGGTTAGAACCCAAGAGTCTAGAAAGAGTAAAAACAGGAGAGGTCCTCACAAACTTTCCTAGTGAAGTAGTTCAAAATCCTCAAGACTGAGCAGTGTGGCTTCCAAGGCTCCCATTCATAAGACAGGAATATCTCCTGGTGGGATATCAAGTGGAGTCCAACAAACTGTGTCTCCAGCCAATCTACGAGTGCTCCTGGTTCCAAGGGACCACTGCAGAGGATGTAGTGAGAGGAGTGACCATATGGGAAGGGACCGTCAAATCTGATCATCAGGCAGAGAGCAGGCTGCCCTAATGGACAGGGGAGAAAGAATGGATATAAAACCAGAGGGATCTGCTTAGGACCCTTGGTGTATCACTCAGTTTTGGAAGGAAAGAAGTTATAGCTTGAGAAAGAGAGAAAGGCAAATGACTCGCCCTCAGAAATTAGTCACTCCTGCCACCAGGAAGATGATGGTCAGAAGTGGTGTTCATTGCCACTAGGGACAGTCCTCTGTTGGTACGGATGAGGATAAGTCTCTCTTGGCACCATGGGATCTGTGACATCACTGTAGCCTTGGGAGCACAGGCTCACTGAGAGAAGCTTTGATTAAGAACTCACAGCAGAGGCCTGTCCAGTGCTGCAAAGGCTGTAGCTGTGCTCTGATGCATTGCCTGGATTCCCACTCAGGGGGATTCCTGCCTAGGATCAAAGGCCTTTCCCCCACATGCTGGGAGGGGAGACAGAAGATGGCCCTTGGCTGTTGGTCCATGGGCGTTGCCTCATCTAAAGTATAACATCTGTTGTGGAGGTCACATCTTCCGGGGAGAACCTGCTCCAAATGGCTGATATCAAAGTGGGAAGCCATGAATAGAACTGACCTGGAGCCCTGTGGATTGGCTGGATCTTTTGCTGGGAACACATTACATGTTAGTGTCCCCTCTGCTTCCCCCTGCTTACCAATCTCCTTTCATCAGATATTGATACAAAGAGCACTTCTTTTTCATTTTGATGTCATTCATTTATTGTGTATGTGTGCGGTTGGAGCATGCATGCCATGATTCTTGTGTGGACATCAGAGGACATCTCGCAGGAGTCAATTTCTCCTGACACCATGTGGGCTCCCAGGAACAAATTCAGGTTGACAGGCTTGGTAGCAGGCTTCTTTGCACACTGATACCTCATTGGTCCTCCAAGAGCACTTCCTGGGAACAGCAACCTATAAAATATGAGTAAATAACAAATAAGATGATTTATGTTTCCAAGATGATAAAACCAAAAAAAAAGTTGGCCATAAAAGTAATCCATTTAATTTATACCAACTATATGGTTAACGAGGGTCCTGTTAGCTGTGACCTAGTTTTGACCAAGTACACATACATATAAACAAAACAGACTCTTCCTGAGAGTCCTGCAGGCATTCATCCTGGGCACATCCTTTGTCAGATCCCAGACTTCCAAGCCTGACGTCCCCCTCAGTCACTGCATACAAAAGAAGGCCCTGTCTCAGAGCCTAGCAGATGCAAAGCTGCAAAGTCATTGTTGTGACTCATGATCAAAATTTTTATGAGAATTTGTGGATTCATAGTTTCATTTCCAGAATCTTAAACTTTTGTGCTTTTTTTAAAATATGCCTGGCTTGCTTTTTGGCCAAGTCCGTTTGAAACCGAGCTGCAGTTTTTTAATAATTCAGATATATAGGCGGAGCTCCACATTTCATAGGCAACTGTAAACCTTACAATCACAGTTTGAACATATCCAGCCTGATGGATCTTACCTAAACTGGAATTTCATATCTATCCAACAGCAGCTTCATAAAGCCAGCAGAGATCAATATATGAGGAAATGTTAGGAAACCACTAGTTTGATAGCTAATTAAAATTATAATATATAAAAAAGGAGTTCGAACAGGAGTATCCTGTAGAGGTGGACAGTGCGGTTCTCAGAAGACAGGGGTTATTAAAAGAAAATCTCAGTGCCAGGCATGGAATGACTCCCTACAAATAATGGGCCAGGGGAGCCCCAGAGGCGCCCGAACGATGCAGGCAATTGTTTTTTTATCCACTGTAACTAACGGTAAGATAACACTCACGTTGGATAAAGGGCATAGAAAAACCAGTCTTGACTAACCAGGAGGCTCTCCCTGCTGGTTAGCTTATGTGGCTGTGCTCTGCAGTGCTGTGCAGGCTTCCGGGAGAGAAGTCATCAGCAGGTTTACCCAGCACCGGACTGGCATGCCCTGCAAGATGTGCACACTGGTACAATAGTGACAAGGGTATCGCTGTATTTCCTAACCTCTTTCTGATTGAACGAAAGGCCCGCTCCACAGGAGGGAATTTCACAGTTGGTACTATAAACCTGGTCAAAACCTGGTTAAAAGCCAATGACTGAGAAGATTACAGGCCCTTGGGGCAGGGAGGAGAAACCCACCGTTGTTTGGATAGATGTCCGTGCTGTCAAATTGCCTTCTGAAGACTTATGTTTATACTCATAGATTTGTTTTTTGCTCAGCTTGGTTAAAGATGCTTCTTTTCGCAATGGGTAGTTCTTAATGTGGATACTCAGAACTGGCCCAAGGGATGAGTAGAAAACGTGAGTGCTCAGCTGTGTATAAATCACTTACATCAACCTCTTCCCGGTCAAGTCTCAGGAGCATTGCGTAAAGGGGGCAGAAAGCATGTAAGAGCTAGTGGACTGAAGAGAGCTGTGACTCCCAAGTTCTGGACATGCCGTGCTTGTTACACATATCAACTCGCTGAAAACATGGTTGCTTTCACAAGATCTAGGCAAGATCAAGCCAGCCAAAGTTCCAGATTAGCTGGGGGAAAGGGGAAGCTCTTGGCAGTTGGTGGCTGCTGAAGAAGGGAGAGACACTGTCCTTTAGGGGTATATGGCCAGTTGTAGGTTACCCACAGCCCAGTGGACAGTCCCACAACCATGCACTTATGGACAGCACTGGCTGTACTCAGGCTTATTAATAGAAAAAGAGTGGAGAGATGGATCGTGCTTAAAAGCACTTTTGAGATGACCCAAGTTCTGTGTCCAGCACACACATTAGGCAGCTCACAACTGTTCATAATTCCAGCTCCAGGGGACCTGACACCCCACCCCACACCTCTTTAGGCCCCAGAAGGCACACTGTACACTCATATGCACGCACACATACAGACATATATGACAATAAAAATAAAATAATCCTAGCAAATAAAAAGGATATGAAGTAGAGAGGGAACAGGTGAGGGCACCAGGGGCAGTTGGCGGAGGTTCTAGTGGGTGGATATGGTCGAAATACATGGTATAAAAGTATGAAATTTTCAAAGCCAAAGGAATTGCCACATACCCTGTTATCATCTACATGGTCACATGTCTGCTTAGTTGGACGTGTAGTCTGCTTCTACTCCCTTGTATGAGGCTGCATCCTGAGCTACTGGGAAAAGAATCCTTTTGTGGGCAGGCCTAGCAGATAAAGTCACCTGCTGCCAAGCCTGACAACCTGGGTTTTATTCCTAGATCCGTATCGCAAAGGGAGTGACATGATTCCCATAGATTCTTCTCTTACACACATGAATAAATAAAGGTACATTTTTAAGAGAATTTTTTCCATGACCCAAAGTTCATGTAAGGCCATAGTTCATACACCCCGCAGGCAGGCACAGTGCAGTGGAAACTAGTAGGAACATCTTGACTTTTGACTTGTATGAAGAACGAAGGACCCTTGTTTACATATGATCCTTCTAAGACAAGGGATCTTGCTTTTCCACGTTAGCTCAAACCCCTCAGCTGTTTTACTAGAAGATCATGCTGTCATTGCATGTGGCCGCTGAAGGACCACACCTCAAATACAGTAATTGCTTCTCCCTGTCTCCTTTGACTCCTCACCTACATCCTTCCTAGCTGGGTGGTCTTGTCAGCTTTATTGGTCTCCAATTTCAAAACCTAACCAGACAAACACCTCACTTTCTAGCCGTGATCATGCCTTACTCGTGGAGGTCCACAGAGGCAGGAGCGTGGGAGTTGGCATGGAGGCATGAGGATCCACACAGCGTGAGAGAGTGACTCAGCCCAGACCCTGTGAGCACCTGAGTCAGAACACATGTTCTCTGGGCTATGTGCTTTCTCAGTTAGGCTAGGTTGTCTCCCGCAGGCTGACCTCACAATTGATTTAGCCCATGCCAGGGGAGGAAGGCGAGGAGGCTATGTGCTTTCTCAGTTAGGCTAGGTTGTCTCCCGCAGGCTGACCTCACAATTGATTTAGCCCATGCCAGGGGAGGAAGGCGAGGAGGCTATTGCTTTCCTTCTGTGCTTGTCTTATCAACACACGGTTGGGTGTTAGAGTATTTGCAGAAGTATTTTTTCCCTCTTCCCTTTGAAAACATTGAAATTTCTCCTGATTTTTTTCATTAAAAAAAATCTCCTGTTCAGAAGATTTTAAGCAAATGTCTCCATCTTGAGCAACTGTGGTAGCCCAGTTGCTGTAGCGGAGTGTCTCAACTGAGCAACTCCAAAGGAACAGAGGTTCAGTTCTCCCAGTTGTGGTGGCTGAGAACGTAAGCGGCTGGCACTGGCCTGTGGGGACACCTTCCTTAGTGTCACAGATAGTGGAGGATGTTACGGTGAGGAAGCCTGCAAGGCAGGAAGAAAGACTGAGCTGAGCTCATGATCTTATCAGGAACTCAGTCCTGAGATAAGCAACTTAACAGCCTGAAGCCATTCAAGGTCCTGCTTCTTACTTTTCAGCACAGGGATTGGGGAGATGGGAGGAGGCTTCCAAACCACAGCAGCAATTTTGTCATCGGCAACTCTGATTGGCCGTTTGATGGCCAATGGCCTCCTTCTTGTACTCCCTTCCCTTGTCAGACCAGATTTAGCTTCTTGTGTGTTTGTAGATGGAATAACAAGTGGCCCCAACCTGAAAGTTTTTCTCTTTATTTGAGTCACAAGAATCTTTCTCAATCTTTCATGTGTCATCTCTGTAAGAATCTAGAATGGTTCTCCTTCTAGTGAAAGACCTATGTGACCAGAAACATATTCTTTCTTTGTACTGCTGTTTCCGTGCCTCTGGGGCAGTGGTGTCATGAGGCTGACCCCTGTTTCTGTTGATAGATTCAGGATCCATGCTAAACTCTAAACATACAAGAAGACACTGTGCTAGACAAAATATGTTTGCCTTGCAGAGCACCAAAATCAAAGATGCAAGGCAATGTGGCATTATTGTCCAACCATGTCATTTCAGGATGTGTGTTATTGAGTGAGGGTCATTTGGGGTGGGTGTCAGAATCAGGGAAAACAATCAGGAGATGATGGCTGTGTGGTTTTGAAGATGGTAGGAGTTTATCAGCACATCTACATTTCAATGGCTGTCTGTTGCCCTTCCTGCCTATATTCTTTTAACCTAAGTTCTCTGGGCTCCCCAGCCAGGTCTTTAGTTCCAGGAAAGCCTACCTACTCTTTGTAACCCCAAGGAGCTATTGGATGTTGTCTAGACCCTCTGGGTCCATGGTAGCTCACCTCTGTGGCTGTATCTCCACTCTTGCTCAAACCCACAGAATCCAGTCAGCTTCCCTGATGAATTCACTTCTGGTCCCTTTATCTCCTCCTACTCATAACATGAGCTTTCAGTGTGTGTTGTTAATGACCTACATAAGTCACAATGGCAAAAAATATGATCTGGCTGTCTATAGTTAAAAATAACACAAGGAAAAGTGTCAGGATTCTCCTCTATGTACTTCCCTAAAGGCAGAAAATGGTGTGCTCACAGCACCGAATATCAGCAGGGAAGTCAGTCCAGCAGTGTCTACCTGCTTTAACCAACGTTCTTCCTGTCTCCACTGCCACTGTGTCAAGCAGGCCCTGTCACAGCTATGTCGAGACTTGGTTCTTTATGGAAATTTAGTGCTGCTTTAGTGTACTTGGATGGGAGAAATATAGAATGAGCTTAAAAACTACAGGGAGATTTTTCTATTTTAATACTGTGGGAATATGTCCATCTTTGTACTTCAATAGAAGACTAGTTAAGGGGGGTGGAGAGATGGCTCTGTGGGTAAGAGTGCTTGCTCTGCAAACACAAGGACCTGAATTTAAATCTCCAGCACCCACCCACATAAAAGCCATGTATATCTCTAATCCCAGTGTTGAGGGTGGAGACAGGAGGATCCCAGGAGCAGCCTGTCCAGCCAGCCTAGCCAAAATATCAAGCTTCAGGTTCAGATTCAGTGAGAG